TTGCTCGAGGATACTATAGAAGATCCGTGGACTTGATGTATTGCTTCAACGTGCAGATATAGGTATAAGTGGTCTAAAAAAGAGCCACGGGTAACGATCTTCAATTGAGAAAGGCAGGATGCTGTTTAACTCATAAGTTGAAATATATATAAATGATATTGACATCCGGCATCATGAAACCACGAACTTACTAGCGAACGAGGTGAAATACTACTGTTTTAAGCCGAATTGAACTTGTGATTCAACTCTGATCGTCAAATAAAGAAATTAGTAAAGACCGTCACGTCTTTTATTCAAATATCTTGTTAGTTTAGGCATATAGCAGACATTTGCTAAGTAGGATGTCTTCCGCAGCACTGCAAGGAAGCAAACCAGCAAGGGATCCAAGACAGCAAGAAGGGTCAGATGATACTATACGGAATGCAAAGCTGGCACCCCGTGGGAACAATCGGGACATAGATGCACTCGGCAGTAACTGCGCTTATGGAACACGCTTGAAACTACGATGCATACAGGCTGTCGAGGGAATTACTAAGGCTGGTAGGCTGGTAACCATGTTATGGAATATATCTACAAACCCACGTTTCGGTCGATTGCAATGCGCTTGATCATGCAGCTGGATGGAAAGAGCTCAAGTCTAAATTAACATTTGTCTATCATCCGGGCCAACCATGGCAAGCAAAAATAGTTTTGATGGGGAAAAAATATGTATCAAGAAGTGAAGGTCGACCGAAAAGAACACCGGAACACAAAATCGGGGCTACCCAAAAACGAGAGAACTCCTATCACCAAGAGACGAGGGTGGCGGGGAGGGAAACCCGTGTCATCCGTTCATTTCCTTACAAAGCAGCCAGGGTCATGAAGACGGCCACAACGGCACCGAAGAGGGAGCCGGAGAGAGTGCTGGCACCGCTGAAGGCAGCGGGGGAGGAAGAGCCAGCGGCCGCAGAGCCGGAGGTGGAGGACTGGCCGGAGGTGGCCGAGGTGCCGGTGCTACCAGAGCTGCCCGAACCGCTGGAGCCGGAGCCAGAGCCGCTGGAGATGGCACCGGCAGAGGGACGAGCAGAGGCGGAACCGCTGGGGCGGAGGGGGTAGGTGCCGTTACCGAAGACAGTGCCGTTCACGCCGGGGCGGCCAACGGTGAAGCTGGGGGTAGCAGAGGCCTGAGCACCAGAGGAGGAACCGACAGCCTTGCTACCGGCGGCGGAAGAGGCAGCAGCAGAGACAACGGAAGACGAAGAGGAGGTGGTGGAGTTCTTGCAGGACAGGTCGAACAGGGGAGTGGTGGAGAGCTCGCTGCCGACGATACCGAAGCTGGGGTTGGGGGTGGTGGGGGAGGCATCCTGCAGGATGTACCACCAGGTGTTGACGTTACCGAAGAGAGGGCAGCCGACCTCGTCCCAGAACTTCTTAGCATTGGCGATGCTGGCGACGGCATCACCCTGGGAGTCACCGCTGACGGGCCAACCAGTCTCGGTGATCCAGACCTCCTTGTCACCGGCGACAGCCTTGGTCTTCTCGACGGACTCCTCGAAGAGGGACTTGGCGTTGTCGATGGAGTTGGCCATGCTGCTCTGGAAGAAGGGGTAGCCGTCAAAGCCCAGCCAGTCGACGGCCTCGACGACGGCAGAGTTGGAGCTGTTGGTCCAGGAGTCCCAGGTGTCGACGTGACCGATGGAGACGTCGGCGAGGGCAGTGCCGGAGATGACGGAGCGGACCTCCTTGATGTAGGAGACGAGCTCGTCGGGGTTGACACCGACACCGGCATCGGCCTCGGCACCCTCGACGGAGTTGCGGTAGAGATCTTCACTGCCGACGGAGATACCGACGACGAGCTTGCCGAGCTCCTCACCGTACTGGGAGATGGCGGTCTTCAGAGCGGTGATTTCGTTGTCCATGCCACCACCGGAAGCCCAGAGACCGAGCAGAAGGGAAGTATCCTGGGCAATGGCGGCGGGGATGGCCTCGATGACATCGCTGGTGGAGTAGGCTTGCTATGAACCAGTTAGCAAATGTTATGATCATTATATAAAAGGCATTGTCATCTGGGTGGGACGTACGATCATGGTGTAGAGACGGGCAGAGGTGAAGCCGGAGGTGGTCTTGAGGTTCTTGGCGGCCTTGAACTCGGCCTCGAAGTCGGCCTGGAACTTGGAGCTCTCATCGGAGAACTTGTTGCCGTAGTTGAAACCCTGGTAAGCAGCCTCGGAGGTGGCCAGGGTCATGGCGAAAGCGGCCAGCTGGGCGAGCTGCATCTTGGAGAGCATGGTGACGGTCGTGAAAAAGAACGTAAGGGATTATAAAGAGTGGGTAAGGTGGGAAAGAGAGTGAGACGCTACACAGAAAGCTGAGAGCGATGGGATGGAGTGTAAGAGAAAGAATGGAATGAACAAGGCACAAACCGAGTTCTGAGTAGAGAGAGAGAGAGGATTGAAGATGAAAAGAGAGAGAGGAAGAGGAAAAGAGGAGAAGAAGTAAGATGTATGAGGGGAAAAGAGAGAGAGACGACAAGGGAAAGGAAACTAAGGGAGGCAACCGAGACATTCTAGACTCGAGGCCCGACCAGATTGGCCTGAACCCGGAAATTCGGCCGCCCCGTCAGTAAATCTTGTAGCCAATGGGAGAGACTCGTGCCTGAGTTGGACTCCACCCCACCACTGGGAGAGAGTGGGGTTGTGGCTGCCACATGGTCCAATCAGGAATGTCCCCGCCGGGATGACAAAAGAGCGCAGTGGAGCTCTGGTGACCTTGGCGAATGCTGGTTGGATCCAGGGACAGCCACGAAATTGACACCCCGGCAGCCGAGTGGCAAATCACAGAGGCACAATCAAGACTAACCATCCAATAGTAAAGGGATAAAAATAGCAAGCTATTCTTAGGGCCGATGCTTGTTCTTCATAAAAATAAACACCCATTTCATTTCAACGGTAATTAACTGATTTAACTGGTTTGAATGGATAATAACTGGCGGAGTGGGGGAGAGTTGCTTCTAGCCCTTCTCCTTATGCCCCCCTGATTCTCTTTTTCTTGTCCTTTGATCCATTTTGTGGATATTGCCTTGCCAGCGTCCATGATGGATTCCGGCACGGGTTCCCCCTCTCTCCCCCCTCAGCGGGGGCTTTCAGGGAGGCCATATTTCTCTGGATTTTTGGGGGTGACATCCAGACCCAGGCTTTGGCAGTAACCAAGCTAGAGTTTTGGTGTTGGTTGACGGGACAATAGTCAGCAATCCTTTCCTTCTTGAATGAAAGGGTTTCCATGTTTGGCCCCAACCGGCTGACGCGGTCGGGCAGGACATCCATGCAGGAACGGTCCAGGCACACCCAGGGGGTTCCTACAGTAGTGGATGTTAGTCAGTCACTATGTATCAATCTATCTACAGGGTAAACTCCCCTGCTCGCATTGACCACATCCTTTGGTTGTCACTAGACAGGTCATCTGCCGAGCATCTCTTCCTGCACCATCATCACACCACATCAACGCAAGCAACATGGAGGCAATCCAACCTGCCAGCCCGCATCAATCCGAGGGGGAAATATTTGGCCCCGGAGGATTGGGGTTTCTCCTGTAGAGGCTGAAACCCGACCCCAACTGTTGCACTGCCATACATAGTCCTCATGGTAGTAGTGTTGGTGTTTCCGATTGCAGAGAAGTGGAAGAGTACAGGCAGATCTGGTGCAACCTGACAAATTTTAGATCTACCTATTTAACTCCAGGAATTGATCTTGCGACCCCCGGAACATGGTTGCGATGGTGAAAATTTCATTGTGAGGGTAACAATTGAAGTGGACAAGGTCAAGGCACATGGCTGGGTGGGATCGAGATCTGACCCGAGGTTACTTGACTTTGTGACTAAACAACGGATCTCGTCGGTCCCTGAGAGACACGCATTGAGCAAAGATCGTCCATCCTCCACTTCCCATCTTCCCATCTCTTCCGGTCAGGGCTCAGTCCATGTACCTGCGTTGGCACCGGTGAGTTGTCTACACCTGTCCCTGAGTGGTGCCTGATGCAAGGCGATTTAAAAGTAGAAACCGCACGCGACCGTGCAAAGTCGTCCTTTAGTCGTAGAAAATGGCCTCGTGGAGTCGGTTCCATGCCCAGATGTGCCTGTCCATCTCACTCAGAACCCGTAGCTTCTTAACTTAACCCTAGTGGAATTGAATATTGGTTTCTCTAATACAGAGCGTCGGCTGTTTCTAGAGTACTTTGGGAAGATTCGAGGCATGACGCATGGCCGCCTTTATACCCTCCTCCCCTCAGGGCTGTCAGCCCTTATTTCACGATCTTGTCAGCTCGACCGGCTGGACCACTCTCCAATCTCACGGTCGGGAATTGTTTCCGTGCACTTCTAGAGACTGACATGTCAATGATCAATCCAAAAAATTGTTTCTGTCATTTTCTATGGCACGGTTCATTCTCACTGGACTCCCAGAAGCAAGGAAGGGTGGGTGCAACGCAGCCATATTGTCCGAAGATCTGAATCGTCAAGAACGCGGAATTATCCGCATAGTATTCACCAGCGATCGAACGACAATTAACCCCTTCGTTGACCCCATATGAAATGAACTCAGGTCACTCATGAAATCACCTTCCACTTCGGGTACTGAAGATGATCCGGTCGGGGGCCGTCTCACTATCAAACCACCCCATCTCTATATTTAACCTCAACAACGGTCACCGGCGATCCTATGGTGGTCCTCCACCTTCACAATCCCCATTGTATGACATACAAAATAGATGGAAAGGGTTTCCGACTCCATATCAAAACCTCGCCTGTGGCCGCCCCCAAGGCCCCCAGTTCGTATTCCTATTCCTTCCCGGATTCCCGCGGGCTGAACGGGCTGAAACGCTTCTTCAACACTCGTACCCTGGATCGCTAAACACCATTCAGGGTCTTCTTTAGTCAGTAGTGCTTCGTTTTGACTTTGGTCCCTGCAGAGTATGTGGTCGGGGTCTAATAGTACAGGAGACACGGTCGCAGGTCAACGGGGATAGCATCATCTGCTCAGCGTGTCAATCACCACCTGTCCTGTGAATAACCCGTTTCTAACTGTAGAAACATCACTCATCGAACGTGAAACTGAGAAATCAAGAAGAGAAATAAGAAGATTTCTCAACAGCTCTCAACGCGATGCTCAACATTAAGTCCCCCCGCTGATGACACAGTGACGAGACATCGGATCTCCATCGACAAGCTCGCTCCGACTCGACTTGGGGGCCAAGCTCCACCAGACTCAACTCTCTCGACATCAAGTGAATGGATATGATGTGAAGCGAGACCATCTAACTCGACGATGATGATATAAATTGCCTGCTCGCCTCGACCATAGTTATTATCACCATCATCTTCTCTCACATCGTTCCTCATCTACCTTCTTCGCTTCTATCACCACCAACCACCATCCTCTCATCATGACATTCAAAACCACCGCCGGTCTTGCCCTCCTCGCTCTTGCGGGCTCCGTCAAAGCCCAGTCCGTGGATGGCTCCAAGTACAACAGCCCAACTAACGGTCCCCCAGCCAGCTACTTTGCCGCGGCCACGACCCTGCCTGTCGCGGCCTTGCAGTCGGCCGCAGCCAAGGCAAGCTCTGTGCCATCCAAGGCTACCTATCCTGTCAATACGGACAAGAATTCTCCCAAGTCGACTATCCATAGCGATTGGGTCAAGTTCAACCAGGTATATTGCAACCTCCCTCGGATGGGTGATAGAGCCCTCGCTAATGACCACAGGGTGCCGCACTCAGCTGGGTAGCAGACATGGATGTCGACTGTGATGGCATAGACTACAAGTGCAAGGGCAACGGGGATGGCCTACCCGAGACCAACTGGGGAGCTCTGTCAGCGTATGAGGTACCCTGGATCGTCATCCCAGACCAGTTCCTCACGGTCAACGAGGACTTGCTTCCGGGTAACAACATTGCCGCAGTGATCTGGTGAGTCTGCCCTTCACCTTCTGTACCACTGTGCTGGCTGACCGACCTCCTTAGCAACGGCAAAATGTACTACGGCATCCTAGGTGACTCCAACGGCGACGACCCCGAGGTAACCGGCGAAGCCTCATGGCTCATGGCCCGCACCTGCTTCCCAGACGATGATCTCAACGGAGCCGAGGGACATGCCGAAGCAGACGTAACCTGTAAGCCCTACTCCCGCTGACCTAAAATTGGGCTATCTAATACAGAAACAGACATCGTCTTCACCGGCGACGACGCTGTCCTCCCCAGCAGTGCCCTGGACAAGAACTACATCACCAACTTCAGCACCCTGCGCTCAATGGGCGACAAGCTGGTCGGCGCTCTCGCGTCTAACCTGGGTCTCTCCAAGTCAGGCTCAGGCTCTGGCTCTGGCTCTGGCTCCAGCGCCAGCGCCAGCGTGCCCTCCCAGACCACCTTGGCCACGAGCGCCGCCAGCACGCCGAGTCCTTCGGGCTCCACGGCCACCTGTTCCTGGGAGGGACACTGCGAAGGTACGTGGACGCTCCGGTCGATACGAATACAATGGCTCATATTGATTTTATGCAGGCGCTATTTGTTCTACTGAGGATGACTGCTCGGATGATTTGGTCTGTGATAGTGGGAAGTGCAGCTCTGCTGATGACGAGGATGAGGATGATGATGATGAGGATGATGTGGATGACGACGAGGACGACGAGAACGACGACGACGATGATGATGATGAGGAAGACGATGACGATGATGAGGACGACGAGGCCGACGAGTAATCAACAACTTACAATCATATCGGAGATCCTCACCATCTCAGCTCAACAGTCTGCTTCCCTCCTTAACCCTTATTTATCAAACCATATATTTAATAAACTACTTTAAAACCAAACAACCTTCCAAAACAATCCCACCCAAGGGAAAACTCCCTATTCAATAAACAAAAATAAAATCCTCATTCCTCAAATCCGTCGTATCCGAAAACCCCTTATCACCATCCACACCCACCCTCTCCCCCGTCACATTCACATTGGCACCCACATCCTTCACCTCCACCACCTTCCCCTGCTCCACCGCTTTCTTTCTAACCATAGACTCATCCACAATCCGAGCCGACTTGCCCAGTTCCGTCCTCCGTCGTGCATGTTTCCGATTAAGATAGATGATGTATAGATTAGCGAGACTGCCAGAGTCAGTTAGAGAAAAAGAGGAGAGGGAGGCTGGTACGTACATAGCGAAAACAGCTACCAGCACAAACAGAATAAGGTTAGATATAAGACCCGGTCGATAGAGCGGTGCTTGGGAGGTGGAGTAGAGTTGGGGGCCGATGACCTTGCCAATTATCAGTTGCGTTAGCTAAGGCCCATCCATGGGTGTTTTATAAGGAAGGGGGAAGAGGGAAGAAGGGGCCTACATTTCCCGCACACATCCCAATCAACACCACAGCCGACGTACACTTCCTCTTCGTATCGCCAGCTGTGTTTTGCGCTTCCCAGGCATATACGAGGGGCGTTATGGCCGCGAGGCAGGAGACCTGTACATACATCATCAGTATACCACATCTCCCTGACGAATGGAACGGTCCTACCGAGTAATACCCAAACAAAAGCACCCCCTTCTGTTCCCTCGGCACAACAATCATCAACAACGTCCCGATGGCAGAAATCCCCGCAAACAGGGCAATCACTATCCCCTTCCTCTGGAACCTTGCAGCCAGCCATCCTCCGCCTAGAATGGCGATGACTTGAATCACGCCGAAGGGGATGTTGAACAGGATGGTTTCGAACGATCCGTAGCCGAAGGATTTGATGATTAGGTTGCCGAATGTGCTGATGCCGCCGCTGGGGATTCTGCATCCTGTTAGTTATAATGGTGGAACAGGGGAGGCTGGGAGGGAATGTACGCACGAGATAGTCACGATGAGAAAAAACCACAGCCACGTCTTCACGTCGTATGCTGTCTCCCAGACGTGATCCCATCGCCACTCCCGCGAGATGATGCCCATCTGGTTAGCCCGGAGACGTTCCACGGCGATGACTTTCTCGCGTTCGGAGAGGAATTTGGCTTCCATGGGGGAATCGGGCATGAATAGTAGGACTAGGGTTGAGTAGGCGACGGTGAGGAGGCCGCAGAACATGAAGATTATCTGTGGGTTTTGAGGGTTATTATGGGATTATTGGGGATAGTGGGGGAGACGTACTTGGTAGGAGTAGAGGCTGTCGCTGTGGATGTGGCCGAGTCCGTAGGTGAATAGACTACCGACCTGTGGGAATGGTTAGGATAGATTGTGTAAGATGATAGTAGGGGGTTTTACTATAAAGGTGACCCCGTTCATCGCGTTCCATATCGCTGTTCGAAGGGTCTGCTCGCCTCGACGCCACCACATTTGTGTGACGGCCACACATGAGGGTGCTGTTTCATTAGTTCATCGTAGCGAAGTATATGGGATATGATAGATCACACCGATCATAGCTTCAAATGTCCCCAATGTCAGCCGCAGTCCCAGTAGACTGGGAAAGTCCGTGCATGCCGCCATGATGGCCAGCGAACTTCCCCATAACAGCACGGCTGTTCCAATGACTTTGCCGGTAGGTGCCTTCACAAGTAGCAAGGCAGCAAGCGGCTGCACGACTAGTTGGGCAAGGTACAGAATAGACCCAAGCCATGAGTACTGCTGGCCGTGTAGATGCGCATCCTCGACTAGGCCAAAGATGGACACGTACGACAGCGTCGACTTGTCCAGCTGTTGGAAGAAGTATGCTCCTAGCAAGAGAGGGAGGATACGGAGATCAATGCGTCTAAGGACGTGCTTCTCTTCTTCTGGGCTGAATGTCCGCTCTTCCTCCTTGACGGTGGCTAGAAAGTCCGCTGCCTTTTCTCTTCCTGTGCCATGGGCCGTCGCGTCCACGGCGGTGATGGCATCGTGGGAATCCTCTGCACGGGTAGCCATCGCGAGTACCTGCCTGCCATAACAGAATAGATACTCGGTGACTAGTATGTGATTTATATCCTTCAGCAGGATAAACCGGCTAATATCACTGCACTTCCATCAATCACAGCCAGATCAGATACCTACCGAGGCTATCTGACCATGAATCTCGTCGGCCGATCTAACATGTTACCCCAGATTCTCCAACCCCAGTATCCCCGCATTTCGGCCTGCTTCCGGTTGATGGAAAAACTCTGGCAAACAAGCTGCGTGGGGGGAGGGGGATGTCCGTGCGAGATGTCAGATCTGCGCTTCGAGTGAGTGTGTCCCGACAGCATATAAACCAGCTACAATCATCCCCCTCATGAACATGGTCGCCAAGATTTACGGGGCGTTGTTACTTAGAAACAATGGCACAAATGAAGAAATACGCACTAATCGGCACCGGCGGCCGTGCCATGTTCTTCTACACGGCCATCGTGCGCGACTTCTTCAGGACCGCCCATCTCGTCGCTTTCTGCGACACCAACTCCACTCGTCTGGCATACGCCAACTCGCAGATCCAATCGCTAGGTCACGCTGCGATTCCGACGTACAGTGCGCGGGACTTTGACCGAATGATCGAGGAGACCCGTCCGGACGTGGTGATCGTCACCACGATCGACCGCACCCATCACCAGTATATCGTCCGTGCGTTGGAACTGGGCTGTAACGTCATCACGGAAAAGCCCATGACCATCGATGCGCCGCGTTGTCGACAGATCTTCGACGCCGTGGATTGCACCCAGCGCCAGGTCCGAGTGACATTCAACTACCGGTATGCGCCGCATAACACGCGCATTGCGGAACTATTGGCCAGCGGGGCAATTGGCGAGATCAATGCCGTGCATTTCGAATGGGTGCTCAACACCTCCCATGGAGCGGACTACTTTCGCCGCTGGCATCGTGATAAGAGAAATACTGGGGGTCTGCTGGTGCATAAATCAACGCATCATTTTGACCTGGTGAACTTCTGGCTCCGCACTCGACCTGAGACGGTCGTTGCAATGGGGGATCTGCGCTTCTATGGGAAAGAAAATGCCGAGCGACGCGGCGAGACGAGATTCTACTCGCGCTCTCGCGGGAGTGAAGTGGCCCGGGATGATCCGTTTTCTCTCGACCTGGAAGGCAATGAGAAGTTGAAAGGGATGTACGCGGATGCAGAGTGGGAAGACGGGTATTATCGCGATCAGAGCGTGTTCGGGGATGGCATCAGCATTGAGGACACGATGGGTGTGATGGTCCGGTATGAATCTGGGGCTGTGATGACGTATAGTCTCACGGCGTATGCGCCTTGGGAGGGATTCCGGGTGAACTTTACTGGGAGTAAAGGCCGGCTGGAGGTGGAGGTCGTGGAGCAGTCGTACGTTAACTCCGGGGGTGAGCAGGCATTGGAGGGCGCTCTTGAGCGACAGAGTATTCTTCTAAGGCCTTTGTTTGAGAAGCCGGTAGAGATTGAGGTGCCGACGGGTCAGGGAGGGCATGGGGGTGGGGATCCCCAGCTGCTGAAGGATCTGTTTGGTACTCCCGATGCGGATCCTCTGGGTAGGGCTGCGACGCATGTTGATGGGGCGTGGTCTATTGCTACGGGGATTGCGGCTAATGAGTCTATGCGGAGGGGAGAGGTGGTGAGAGTGAGGGATTTGATGCCGTTGTGAGTTGCTGTTTGGTTGGTTTAAGAGGTAAAGGTAGAATAGAATGCGTAATGGACCTGTGATACGATGGGCAGAGGTTCGTAGACGGACGTTAGATGCCCTCTTGTCATTAGGTGCAGCTTTGAGGTCACAAGTACATATTCTAGATAGCGAAACCGCCTACCTCAAGCACAAACTTAAAATCGAGGTGACATATAAGGTTTTATTTAGCTTGATTTGTGAGTGGAATACCTACAATTTTATATTGCATCACAGTCACTGCAAGAGGTGTCATTGAGCTACACAAGACTATTTCCAGAACCGGAACCTTCAAACTCTGCCCTGGCCCCCAAAACCTAGCGTCAACTGAGTAATTCGCGTTGATTCTCCCCTTCCCCGATTGACATGATAGAATATTGCGCAAAGGTGAGTGCAGACTGCAGACTGCAGACTCAGTAATTGTAAAGGTCACCATCAAGGTCAGCAGTGCCACGCTTGTAATTGTACAAGTCTCCATCAAGTTCAGCCTTGCTGCGTTTGTAGTTGTAGAGATCACCATCGAGTTCAGCGTTGTCCCGCTTATAACCGCCTCGCTTGTAGTTGTAAAGATCACCGTCTAGTTCAGCATTGCTGCGCTTGTAGTTATAAAGGTCGCCATCGAGCTCGGCCTTGTCGCGCTTATAATTGTAGAGATCCCCGTCGAGCTCACTAGTACCTCGTTTGTAGTTGTACAAGTCACCGTCTAGCTCGTTGGTAGATCCCACCGCTGAGAATGTCAATACAGAATTTCTTTTCATGGGACTGGTGAGCTACTTACCAGGTAAGGCCGCAGCCATACCAATGGCGAGGCATAAGGATAGTATAACCTTGGGGGTATGCATTGTGATGGCTTGGGATATTTTTTGCCTAGATTCAAGATGTATGCTCTTTTGCTCGTAGCAGGGTGTGGTTGATGTGGTTGGTCGAGGGGATAAGGTATCAATGGGAATGTCAAAGCCTTTATATAGATCAATATAGCCGGCTACTTGCACGGCATGTCAGAATACTGCATCGGGGTCGGTCATATGAGCGTATAATGTGGCGAGTAGCCGGGCATCGTCATCATTTCCTAACACATGCATGACTACGATGTACAGCACATGGAAATTACGTTGCTGCGTGGATCGACGGTGATAGTATTGTTGTGGCAACATTCTTTCTTTGCGTTTTCTCCCTTCCCAACCGAGGATAGAACATTAGGCATACTTTGCTGAACCGACTGGCAAGGCAATAGCTTGCCTGCTGTCACCCCAAGTTACCGGGAATCAAGTGTAGCTATGTGACACTGTGCTGCCTGACATCGATAGTTCAGCGAGGATGCATGCATATCAAACTACATGGTGAAGCTTCACCCCATGACGACGGACATGTCCTTATTCTAAGCATCCAGGGAATATCTGCACATCGTCTAAGCAAATGGCGGAAAGTCCCCTTACGCGGGGTAGCCGGCCATTGATGAAGCTCCACATGAACTGAAAGGTGTACCCTCAGACTCGCAGCAGCGATTCGAGTAGTACAAGCTCCTCCGCTCGTCCCATGCCTTCACGTTGACCCTGCGGGGAAATCGCTGTTTCACAATTACTCTATCTATGGAAACAGACAATGATGTGTTTATCAACACACCGACTTGGAATCCTTCCAACTTCCCGTTTGAAGATGATCACTCAATCCCCTCAACCTCATTTCTATCTATGCCCCCAACAAACCGTCCACCCTACATCCCTAAGGAAAATGTCCCTAGCAAGGCTCAGCACAATGTACATGGCTCTCAAAAGAGACCGAACCGACAGCACCTCGTCCTCCTCCGAGAGACTACCATTATCAGACAGTTCAGAAGACTATCGCGACGAGTCCTTCAACAAACCGCTCTTCGAGGAATGCCCCCACTACATGAACCATCAACGCCAACCCCCCTTTCAATGGAGCAGTTTATGCTTCCACCTCATCCTAGCCCTTATCTACGGCGCAGCATTCCTAGCAGCAACGTACCGATCCGCAGGCAATATCAACCACCAAGACAGTAAACCTGCACATCTTATCGCATGTAAGTCTACCTCTCCCACCAAGCCCAACCCTAACTAGGAATCCACTAACATAACCACACTAGCCCCACTATGGGAAGCCATAGAACTCGAGCGCAAAACCATCAACGCCTCAATCGCGAGCGAGAATCCATTCAAGGGTGCTCCATCGGACGAACTAGACCACGCATGGCACCAGCTATTCATCAACTCCAATGTCCGAGTTACGGCAGAAGACCTAGCGAAGATAAATCGCACGTCCGTCCCAATAAACGATGAGAAGGGAGGATATTATGCCATTCCGGGTATGTTTAGAACCCCCCATATGCGTAGCTCTGATCGATAGGTGTGCCCTAACAGAAATATAGATGTATATCACCAGCTGCATTGCCTGGTAAGACGACCCTTCCCTACCTACCACTTTTATTCTATACATAGCACAGCTGATCATAGTAATAATAAAAATAATAACTACCAGAAATTTCTCCGCCAAGTAGTCTACCACAGCTACTACCACGTCGGGAAACCTACTACCCCACTTCATATTGGTATGTACATCCCCTCCTCCCCACCTTCCATCCAATGCATCACCACTAAATACAAAATAGAACACTGCATCGACAACCTCCGCCAAAACATCATGTGCAAAGCCGACGTCTCTCTCCTAACCTTCACATGGGACCCGACAGATCGCGCCCCGAAACCCAACTTCGTCATCGAGCACGAATGCGCTAATTGGGACAAGGTGGATAAATGGGCCGAGGAACATCGATTCGATATCTTTGATGAAACTACCCTGGTTCATCCCACTCTGGGCCCTTCGTTTCCCGAGGAGGAGTATAAGGCTACGGGGAGGATTCCGGGACATCCGGATTTTCATCCAAATGGGTTTCATGGGGATCATGGGGGTCATAGTAATGGGGTATGATGGGGAAAGGGGGGATGTGCAGTCTTATATAGTCAGAGATATACTGTGCATGGCACATTATTCAATTATTATTTTGGGTATATACATCTATGTCCAGGAGTATTAAGCAGGAATTACACCCTGCGGATGATGAAACGTATTCTTCGGATCCAGCTCCTCCTTCAACTCCTGCAACCGGGGCAGATTCGTTCGCCAATACTTTTGCGGCGCATTCTCCATCCTCGGGTCCGGACAGCCCAGATACGCGTGTCCTACGCTCTCTGGCACCGCGCGCGCAAGCACATCATACAACCCATCGGTGAACTCGTACGTTGTTTCCGATATCGGGCCTAAGGGATTGACCATGAAGAGCTGGACCCAGAAGAGCACGTCTCTGTGCGCGTACGCGGTTGCGTCTTCAGCGACGTCGTTGATCGCTCCGCCTTCTAGACTGAGAGTGACGAACCAGGCTGGCGTGCCGGCGGTGTGGTTGTCGATGTATTCGAAGAATTCGTCGATTCCGGCAGATGGAATCAGTGTATCTTGTCTGAAGCCCAGAGACTTGGCATAGAACCAGGTCGGGGTGTTGCCGACGAGCTTGAGGATGGTATCTTCCAGCGCGTGCCCGACCATGCCGAGCCAGTCGGTCAGAACTAGGATATTGCCTGGGTTCTTAGGTGCGAAGTGGTCTTCTAATCCTAGGGCATCGTACTGCTCCTTGGAGCCGAAGAATAGTCCCTCGAGGATGATGTCCCCGTCGAAAATTACCATGTTGTTATAGAACTGGCGGGTTAGGTTCTTCGCCGAGATGAAAGACTGCCAGTCCTTGACGAATTGGGCCTTTTCGGCAGTGCTGCCCAGGTTGAAGGTATACGAGTACTGGACCGCGAGACCCGGGGCCGGCTCAGTGCGGACTTTGAACTCGGTCACGATGCCAAAGTCGGCTGCGGCGCCTTTGACAGCGAAGAATACGTCCTGATTCTGGGTATTAGATGCCCGAACGATGCTCGAGTTGGCCAGCACCACTTCGACTTCTTCGACGTGGTCCAGGGCAAGACCCCATTGGCGCGCGGTGGGACCAAGTCCGCCAATGGTGAAGTGTCCGCCTGTTTTGATGGTTGGGCAAACGCCGTGCGCCATGGCTCGTTTCCCGTTGTTGTAGAGTTCGATGTCGACGTCGTTAAGGGTCGTGCCCGGTCCGATGACTGCTTCGTATGTCTGGTCGTCCATGGAGAATTGGGTGAAGTGTTTCATGTCGACTACTACCGCGCCGTCGGTTCCGCCGAGGCCTGTGTCGAGCACTTGTTAGTGGAAGATGGCCTAGGGGGGTATTTGGCTGAGGGTATGCTACCATAGTTCCCAAAACTATGGCCTCCACTGCGTGCCTGCACTTTGTACTCATAGTCTGAGGCGCACTTGACTATGCCGGCGATTTGTTCTGCTGTCTCCGGGTACGTGATGGCGGCTGGAGTAACCGGGAGGTTGAGGTTGTATTCGTGGACATCGGCGGTCCAAAGAAGCTGGTTTGGGAAAACCGCAAGGGCTGAATTGCCTCCCAGGGCAGATATCAGGCAATCACGCCCTGCTATACTGGTTGTGTTGCCCATATTGGGAGAGACTGGTCTTGAACAGGGGGATCAATCGACTAACAGTTCGACGGAGAAAATTAAGGCTGCCATGCTCCTTTTGTTGTGCCGGGAGATGCCGGCCTGGAGTGGGGTGAAGATTCCATGCCTTGCCAGATGAGATGCACTATTGATCGATGGATACGAAGTTCCTTGGTTTGGGTGCAATGTTGAGTCAAAACAGCGATCTCGGCCTCCACTGCCTGTTCGCTGCGCGCCGATCATGCCTCAAACTAATGCAACTTTGATCCGGTCCCCACCAAAACCCCGCCAGACCCAAAATTTGTCTGGTTCTACCCCTGAATTTCTACCTTGTTCATTCAGCTAAGACCAATGGATTGGAAGAAGCTTGAGATGGGACCCATGGCTTGAGAGATTTCAAACTTTGCTCCTCACAATATTCTCACCCGGTTTGTCACCAGCGAGTCATGTTGTGTTCTTTACAGTTGATTCCTTCTGGTTGCGATTGAACAGAAACTCTCCGTCACTACAATAATTCACCGGCAGTAGATGGCCTGATCATAAATAGCATTCATGGCTCGTAAGATGTTTGCATCGAAAGAAAGGCGTTAATATCTGTAGCTTCCCCTTTGGCGGCACGGCTAGACATGATCGTTAAGTTGCGCTGAACAATGTACTTCAGCGCACAGTTGCAAGTACTTCAGATCTACATCTGAAACCTCAAAGCCGGTCCCATCCGCTTCAGCTTCCGGCTCACTGGGTTCGGAGCGTTGGTGGTCGTGTTGTACGTCGCCAGTGAGTCCAACACCTCCCACTGAATCGTGCCGTTGCCCTCGCGGTAGGTACTCTTGAGTGTGCCCACCGTCTGCAGACTCGGCGTAACGGGAATCTTCCCTGTTGCCACATCCTTGCCGCCAATAACGCGCTCAAACATCTCCAGCGCAAGCAACGGTTGGTAAAAGGGAACCTCATGGCCACTCTCATACACCCGCACAAAGGCAAACTGCCCTGCCTGGCGCACCTGGCCGTGCGTCACTCCATCCGAGGTGACAATGTTGGTGTAACCCGCACTGCTGAAGTTGGCGGCCTTGACCTGCAGTGACACGGCTTCCCCACCCAGCCAGTTGCAGTTGAAGTCAGCATCCCCGGCATACATGACCACCGTGACGCCCTGCTTGAGCAGCTTGCCCACATCCTGGATGGTATTCATGAGTCGCCCGTCGTCACCGGTGGACGAAAAGGCGAGTCCGACAGCGTTGTTGCTCTCCGTGAAGTTGATGTATGCGCCGATGGCGGCCTGCACAGATGCCTTGTTCAGGTAGTCGACGTAGAACTCGTAGGGGAACGGGTCTGGAGTGAGTTCGCGGAAGTCGTACTCATCCCGACCGGAGTAGATGTCGTAGATCTCCTCGACTTCATTGGCGCAAAAGCTGTCGGCCGTACTGCAGACCTCGTCAATGCCTCGGGCGGCGCAGTCGTAAAGCTGGTCGAGGCAGTTTCCAGGGCCGTAGAGGTTATTGTACATCAGCGAGCTGATGGACTTGTTGAATGGCAGGTAGTCATATGTGTTACCCGGATATACCTGTGGATGGGTTAGTGTCTAGGTAGTAAGAACAAGGATCGAATCAGGTAGTGTACCGTAAAGTTGTAGTAGGCCTGGTATTGAATGATCGGGTCATACCAGCCATTGCCGATCATCACACTGCCCAGCTGGATCTTCTTGGCACCCGGCTGGAGATGGGCGTTCTGCTCCTCGATGTACTCGTTGAAGACGGGTCCATAGTGGCCGCCATAACTTTCCGTGGTGAAGTGGAAGGTCTCGCGCGAGTACTGGGGAAATGCGCCCATGAAACCCTGCAGGGCGCGGTAGAAGTTGGGGGCAGCATTGTCGGTGGAGTTGGCCGTAAGGCTCACGTTCGGGTAGGCGTAGGTGCCACAGGACATGTCTGCTGCATAGTCGGGGCAGACAGGGGAGGGCAGGGCAATGACATTGTCCGTGGAGGAATCCACGTAGCCGGGGACCGGAATGCTGTAGGAGAAGCCAGTCTGCACGGGCTGGTCAATGTAGAGCATGTTGCTGGCGTTGTTCCAAGAGTACGGGTTGTTGTAGACGGAGCCATTGGCGTCAATGCCGCATGGGCCGTGCTCTTGAAACAAGCCGATCATAGAGGAGGAACCAGGACCTAGGAATAGTTAGCAATTGGAACGAAATGATGACCGGGGTGAGACATGCCTCCATTGATCCAGACGGTCAAGGGAGCCTCGGTAGGATCTTGATTGCGCGCCTCGAAGAACCAGAAGAAGATGTGCTCGTGCTCGGCGACATCGAGATAACCAGAGAAACTCTTGACGCTGGGATCGGTCTCGCAAATGCCGGTGGAGACCTGTTTGTAGCGGACGGGGATGTCGAGATATCCCTTGGTGGGAATGAGATCCGTGGGTGGAGACACAAACTGGGCCCTGGAGACGGGCAAAGCAGCCACCAAGGCAGCAGCCCAGAGAGTGTACATGTCGGACAGCAGAGATCAAAGATGGGGAAGGAAATTCTCAACGTGAAGATATTCAGAGCATGCTCTTCACCCTTTTATCAAGAAAGTTTGCTATCTCTTATCGGAAAAGAGAGAAGTGTGGAGTAACAATGCTTAGGTGACTGGGGAGATAAGTACCAAGTTGAGCAGACGCGTGACCTGCCGATCGCTGGCAAAGCCGACGGAGTCCGAGTCACCGTTAGCAACAAAAACACCATTCTACATTCTACCATCTTCGATATTATTATCATGACTCCACATCTCTTCTTCATTCGAGCTTAGCTTTTATGCTAACGGATATATCTTCTTCACACTAACTTATCCACTCTTGACTCCTCATAATCAGCAGTATCATTCCATGTCTTGAGCCAGTCCGTGCTGGAACCAATCCTTTCACTAACAGAGTGTAGGATAGTCATCATGTTATGTAGAAAATGCATGTTCTGTTCTGCTATTCCTTATGGCATTCATGACTTCACTGTCCAAGCTCCGCCATTGATCATTTTGGCCCCTCAATCAGCACCTTGATTGAGCCACTACTCGGATCCGACGCCGTCTGAAACGCCTTGGAAGCGTCTTCAAAGGCATAGACATGCGTGATCATCGGGTCCAAATCAATCACTCCGCTGGACATCACCCGGATGGCGCGCGGCCACATGTTGACATAGCGCTGCTGGAACTGCAGATCGATCTCGCGCTCGCTCAGTCGCATAAATGGAAACCGAAGCTTGTCCTTGCCTACGCCGACCACAAACACTTTGCCCCCAAACTTGACACTCTGAATAGCATTGGCGATGGAACTCTCGACTCCCGTGCATTCCAGGGCAACCACGGGCTCACAATCCTCCCCACCCATCAGCTGCACCACCCGAGCTGCAAATTTCTTGTCCGTCTCCTCCGGCCGAACCTGCAGTGTTCGAGCAGCAGGCACGAACTGTTGTGCAAACTGTAGACGCGCCGGGTTAACATCGCTAATCACAATGGGATACGCCCCAGCAGCGCGGCAGCATTGTAGCACCGCCAACCCAATTGGCCCTGCGCCGCAAATCAACACCGGATCTCCAATCTTGACCCCCGAACGAGTCACTGCGGTGAGTGCGACACTCAGTGGCTCCAGCAAGGCGCCTTTCTGAAATGATAGATCGCCGATCTTATGGCACCAGATGGCGGGATGGTTCACGTAGGTCCGCAGGAGACCATGAGATGGTGGACTGGAGCGGAACTGCAGATTCTTGCACCCATTGTAGCGTCCGGTAAGGCATGGTTCGCATGCCTTGCATACAATGTGAGGTTCGACCGCGACGCGATCTCCGACTGCGAGTGTCGTGACCGAAGGGTGGACCTTGACGACGAGGCCTGCAGACTCATGCCCCAATATATGCGCTTCATTTACCACCCACGGACCGATCCCGCCGTGTTTCCAGAAGTGCACGTCCGAACTTGATCGCTACGATTAGCTCTCATCATGGATGGATGGGTTTTGACGGCACGAATTACCCGCAAATTCCACTGGACTTGATTGCTACTGTGACCTCTCCCTCTGCTAAGCTTGATCCATCGGTTATGTGATCGAGGGTAGGTTCTGCCTCCTTGATAAAGAGATTATGATCCGGGTCCGTGTAGACCCCTCGGTTTGGAAGTTGTAACTCCATATTAACCATGAGCGTGTTTCTGAATACGTGCTTTGAGATTTGAATCAACTTATCTGGCTTATGAGGATATTATAGAATCATCTTGGGAGTTTTTAAGCCATACTCATGGATCGATTGCTATATACCTTCCTCGACGTATGGGGAAATATACGCGGGGTTGGGAAGAGCGGGGGCGCGCAACCCCACTGCCATGCCGGATCATCGTTGATTGCGATGCTGCAGTTCGCATGATTTCCTCCGTCAGGCAACGTGTCGCGGTACAACTTTGGTCCGAATCTCTTCTGAACAAGGGGGAACACACTAACCAATATGGTGAGGCTATCAAAAGACCCCAACAGCAGCTGTTCTCGGAGAGAGGCCTCAGTAGACATACTGTTATGATCTGATAATCACTAGTTCGTAGTATCAGTGATCATTCGTCCTCTTTCTCCACTGATGAAAGTGGGGAAAGTTGAGAGATAACAGAAACCGTGGAGACCGATCGTCAGCCTCTTATTTTGGATAGAATCAACACACCTGCTGTTGACACTTCGCCCACAATCGATATTATTCTATTCAGTTAAAATGCCAACATCGGACGAAGAATTCACCTGGACTGCCAAAGGCGGTTTTCAGTATGGTATGTAGTAACTTATCTCGACAGAGTCGTTATAGTTACTCGGCTAAGTATACAGTGAAGGAATAACCACTGAGGCTGTTGTCCCATCTACCCCACCGTCAGGCCTCTCTTTCAGATATGATGTGATTGTTATCGGTGCGGTATTTGCCGATCTCACTGCCGCCCGCGACCTTGCTTTTAGAGGCAAAAAGGTGCTCCTCGTTGAAGCTCGAGATCGTATTGGAGGTCGTTGTTGGACTGCAGAGGTAGGAGACGCTACCAAGATGGAGCTTGGTGGCACAAGGGTGCACTGGCAACAACCACATGTATTCAGCGAGCTGCAACGATATGACCTCGCTCATTTTCAGGAAACCGTGGCATTTCTTGAGAACGGTGAGTTCATGGTCAAGGAATCGCGGTCTCACCCTGCTAGAGTGCAGGATTCTGCGGAAGGACAATTCATTATGGAGCGACTAGAAGGACTGATGGAGAAGTTCTTTAATGTTGATGGGCAAGGCGGGCGCAGTGTAATCCGATTCCCGTTTAGTACGGCCTTCAAGTGTCGAACAGAGTCCGGACTACCTCGAACTGGATAAACTCAGCCTAGCGGATCGTATTTCGCAGCTCGATGGTTGCGGCCAGGAGGAAATGTCAATGCTTAGCGCGCATCCCGCTTCTTTCTATGGCGTCTCGCCGGAAAAGGTTTCCTTTGCCGAAGTGCTTCATACCCATGCATTATGCAACTTTGATCCTGCCATGATGGAGATAGCCACCATGAGATACAAGATTGCACGAGGCACCACGGCCTTCGCGCGCGCAAACCTTGATGACGACAAGGGAGCCCAGATCTTTGGTTCTCCTGTGACATCAAGCACTCAGACAGGTGGAAAATTCCCCGATTATCCTGTTACTGTCACCCTGGAAGATGGAAATCAGTTTGTGTCCAGATTCGTCATCTCGACAATCCCCATCAACGTGATCTCATCCATCACCTTCGAAGACGCCTATCGAGTCACTAGAGACATATTGCGACAGAACTAAAATATGGGGGTTAGTATGTACTTTAGAATTGTATTTGTAGCATTGAACCTCGTCTTGAAGCCTCTGGGGCATGCTCTCTAGTCTATGGGTTCTCAATGATAGATTCATTTCCTCCAAGCGAGACCCACCACTGCAACGTGTGTTAGTATATATTTAGTTGACAAACAATCATCGACTAAGGCAGACAAGCGGTCCCGTAGACAGGAAGGTAATGAGGCCACCATAGTCAAACTGGTAAAGGGCTAACAATTAAGCTTATTCTCTCAGGTGGAGGAGATACTAGAAATGAATGCAGAGGTAGTATAGTAGCTGTATGCACCTCTTGCATTCAGCTGCATTGCTTTGGTTACGAGCAGAGTATCTTACTGTACCCGAAGACATGAAGAGTTGAGTCAAGTGGGACCCCGAGGTATGTTATTTTTAGTAGTTTGGCGACATCATTGGCTGATTACGTAGGCGGAAGGTACTAATACACCATCTAACCATACGTGCAATACATACTTACCAGCTCCATCACTGAGTTGCACTCATTGCAGGCACCGGCTTCTCCCACGTGATAAGTAATAATACCGAAATCACCAGCTCCATCTGGTGCCACTTTCCATGACTGGCTCGGTTTGCCGGAAGCGCCGTCACCCGCGATCATACGACGCCCACCACCGAATCTTGGCCGAGGATCACCGCCCGCCTTTGCCTTCAGGCAGCGCAATTGGAGATGGAGTTCAGTTCAGTTCAGTTCAATTCACTTGTCCACAGTCCCACGCCTCGCCTTTCCTTTCTCGGTCGCTTGTGATTTGGACTGGCTGGCCACCGACTCTCCCTCGGACCCTTTCTCCCTCTGCTACCTCATCATCTTTGAATCACTTGCCCCTGAGGAAACAGCATCGAGGGGGTATCTTTGCAAAGTACATTGCGCGCCCCTCTCTCGGTTTAGCCTCTTTAGCATAACATAGCAAGAAGTCAAAATCTGCTCCGCCGGGACGGAGAGCCACTGATCCAGTCACTGGCCGCGCCCTCAACCGCCCAACGGTTCGATAAGATCTAAAACGTACCTTGCCTGCCCTGCCCTGCCACGGTCGTCTCCGGAAGCCACGACAACCCTGTCAGCGTCAAACCTTCTCTCTCTCTCTCTCTCTTTTCCTACTACCTGCATCGCCTGGACAGATCATCAACCAGGCTGTATTATTGCAAACCAACCCAGTTTCCCATCATCCATCTATCCACAATTACCCTCAATTACTGCTCGTCTGCTTGTCCCTGAGCCAGACTCCACTGTTCATAATCTAGTCTCGTTAGCGCGTCTGGTTGGGGTGGGTGATACCCTCGCCGGTGACTTCAACCCGCAACTAGCCGCATCGCTCCTGACCTTTCTTTCCCCTCAGGTATGCCTGCCTCTTCATAGAACAGTCACCCACAACTACTTTGTTCGATCAATGCTATCTTGCTCATATCCGTCTCCTGGTCACTAACCTATCATTAAACGCTAGCCGGAATTCACCTCCGTACTACCTGCCGCAGGGCACTGACGCTATCGATTGCGGTCCCGGCCTTGGCCGCTGGACGGAATGGCACTGCCCACCATGGGGAGCGACTTTCAGCTCTTCTCCCCTCTCCAGTCTTCGGAACGAAGAGACTCACAGGCCGACTCCACCGCATTCGCTCAGTCTACAACGGAAGATTCGAGTCAGGATTGGACGCAGTGGATGAGATGGGACGACAAGGGCTTCGCCGATGGGGCAAAGGACGTCTCCCAATCCCCTTTTGATACTACCTTCACCTCACCCAATGCGTCAATTGGCAACACAGATCTCTTTCAAAAGTCGGACTTTTCTCCCGACATCAACCTGGACTGTACCAATATCCCTTTCGATTCCTTACTCGACCAGAATTACGGTGGCGTGTGCCAATCGAAGATCGGATCCATTGGTACCGACCTCCAGTCAGCGCTTTCCGCTACGTCGGGTTCCCCGCTTTCCTCGGAAGGAACTGCTCGCAAACGCAAATCGGGCAGTGATGATGATGGGTCAACCGTGAGTGGAGTTGTCCCGACCGGTAAGAAGATGCCGGCCAAAAAGCGAGCGCACAACGTCATCGAGAAACGGTATCGAGCCAACCTCAATGAGAAGATTGCCGAGTTGAGGGATAGTGTACCCAGTCTCCGAGCGTCGAAGAATGCGTCGGGTAGTCTAATGGATGACGACGACGAAGGGGTCACTCCCGCCAACAAGTTGAATAAGGCCTCTATCCTTTCAAAAGCCACCGAGTATATTCGTCACCTGGAGATCCGGAACAAGCGACTTGAGGATGAGAACATGGCCTTGAAGAACCGACTTCGTCAAGCGGAAAAGGCCGTTGATCAGTCACTGACCTCCGCAGCATCCGTCTCCTCACCCAGCAACTACACCGTTTCCACAGAGTCTGGCGCGAGCTCATCCCCCAGTGTGTTCTCGCATGTCGAGGATAGTCCTAGTGACCACTCGCCGACCTCTCTATATCCCCCCGAAGGTTTGCTAAAGGTACCCGATGCCTTCAGACGCATGCGAGAGGAATCCAATGCCAAAGATAACGCGTTTTCCCAATCATACATCCAATATCCCAGCAGCAACAACAATGTCTCATCCCCATGTGGTGGTCGTACCAGGCGCTCATATTACCCCAACAAGTACATGCTTGGTGCCCTTGCTGGTTTGATGATCGTCGAGGGTATGGGCAGCGAAAAGAAAACGGAGTCAACCGCCAAGGGGCTGCTGGCAATGCCCATGAACCTGTTCGGAAACCTGCAAGCTACCCTTCAGAGCCCCACCGCAGCATATTGGCTTGTAATGGCTCGAAACTTTTGGTACTCGTGGCATGCACGAGCCATCTCGCATTTTCTTATTCTCGCCACCCTTGTCGTCGGCAGTGCCTTCATTGTCTTCGTTTACCTCTTCAACGCTACTCCTGGTGAACAGTCCTCTTCGCTGAAGACTTCGTCACCGTCTGATACATCGTCAAATTTCCGACGTCAGGCCTGGCTGACAAGCATACAGCGGGTCGGGGTCCCGCGCCACCGCTTTTTCCACGAGTGGTACGTCGTGACCTCGCGCTGCTTTGAGTACGTCCTGCGGTGTCTCCTGGGTTGGAAACTGTATTCTTCGATTACCGGGGTTACCGAGGAGGACGAAAAGGGACGAGTCAAGACCTGGGATATTGCAATTGACGCACAATTGGCTGGTGGCGACGCTGAAATCAGCAAGAGTCGTCTAGTCCTTACCATTTTTGCGGCAGGTACCCTGCCTAGGAGTCCAATGAGAATGATGCTCAAAGCTCTCCATTGCCGTATCCTGCTTTGGAGAGTTGGGGACCGCGGCTCTTGGAGCTTCGACTTGTCGAATGATGTCGCTCGTTCATTGGCAAGGTATCAATGGGACCTCGCTCGGACCATGCACAAGGCTATGCCGAAAGATCATCCCGATGCCCTGCCTAGCCACCTAGCCGCGTTGTTGCAACTGGACTGCGACGAAGTCATGATTGACAGCATCGTGCAAAGAGCGGCAAACCTCACTTGGAATCGTCCCACCCAAGAAGGTACTGATGATGACCAAGCTCTGCTGGATGTGGTGGAAGAAGACCCTGCCATTCAATCTTCCCTGGATGCCCTCGCAGCTTGGTGGTCTAGCCATCTCTTGCAACGGGCCCTGCTTAGATACTTCGAAGCTAGCTCTGGTGGTCCTGACGCGAAGAAGAGTCGCGATCTATTCAAGGCGAAGATTAAACTGGCCCTGGACGTCGCCCCTCAGCCCTCCGCCGCCCATACTCGAGCGTTGGTGATGAAGGCAGTATTCTTCGAGCAAGACCGCGCTGCAAATATCGGAACTGTCCTCGCAGCGTTGCCTAAAGATAAAGGGAGGAGCAAACAGAACCAAGCATCCAACTTTCTTGACTCATCTCTTCCTGTGTCTGTGCGGGAAGAGATTGCGATCTCGGTTCGCTGTGCAATGATTGCGGCTATATTTACGGCTAGGACTACAGGCGACACTTCTCTACCGGCATCCTTCACTATCCAACGAGCTGTCACATGGTTCAATCAGTTGCCGCTTGACCCGGTGGATCTGACACTTCTCGGGTTCGCGTCTGTGTACCATCTGCTCCATGTCCTAGCCTCTGACACCGACTATCTGTCGTCCTCCGAGTCCTCTTCGCCATCTTCTCCCGCCTCGCGCAGTTCCACCCCGTCGTCTTCGCTTTCCTCTGATGAAGAGGAGAATGACAAGCCACGTGTGTCGCAGAAGCCCGAGATTTTGCCGCAATCCATTCCGAATTTGGGTCGTGTGGCATCCGAACTCATGTACTGGGCGCGGAATGCATACAATCCGGCCTTCTACGGTTTCACTTCTCAGCTTGTCAAGGTCATTGAAACCGAATGCACCTCGCTATGCCATAGTGCTGGGGTCGATGTGACCGACTACTCTTGCATTCAGGAGGAGAAGATCAAGTCGAAACAACTGAAAGACAAAAAGAAGAAAAAGTACCCAAGAAGGTCATGAGCACTCGTCGTTTAGACGAATCAAAATAGACAAGAAAACAAAGACAGATTCTTCGATTTTGGTGCTTCTGGTCTCGATGACAGTGACTGCCGCCTGGAGCCCAGCAGTTCCATAATCTCGTGACAAATTTCCCCACCCGGATACAAATTTTCAAAGATATCACGGTTACGTTCCCATTAATGATATGACTAAGTCGGAATCGGCCTCCTTTTACGTGTATTTTTTTCACCTTGCTTTACTTTAAAGGCGATTTACTGTTGTGTGTGACGGGGCCGCGCAACCGCTGATTTGCACCCTACCCCATTTCTTGTTGCCCGGTCAAAGGCGTTACTGGATTGTGACACTGGTCTGTTCAATTATCCTCCCTCAGCTTCCGGAATGGAACGGAAATAGATGTTTGAGACCTTTCATCCTCATCTGTCTGTAATTCTTAATAATGTTTTGCGATCATCGTATCGAATGTGGCCCCGGGGCTGAAATCTTTCCTTAAGTGCATATTTGAATTTCAGTCATCATTCATGTATGCATGCGTATCCATGACTGAAGATGGTGCCTGTCTCAGTTGTGTCGCGGTTCCTGTAGCGGATGTCTCATGTTGTCGGGT